AAAGAAAAGCAGGCTGGGGACATGGCTCAGTGGTGGAGTGCTTGCTTAGCATGTGCAGGGCCTTATCCCCAGTGCTGGGGAGGGGGAGAAGACTAAGTACACTAGAGGCAAGATAGAATATGATTACATCTGGAGTGAGGCAGGAGGGGATGCGTGGGAGCTAGGTCTGGGATAGGCAGCTGTTTTACTGAAGTTTAATTCTTTTGAAATAAATGTAGAAATTAAGAAAAAGAAATGTAACATTCACTCTCCAGGTTCCCCTCCAACACCACAGCGTCCTTTTCCTTTGTGAGGAGCAGAAGCTTGCTTTATGTCATGACCTTGATCTTTTCTGTTCTCAGACTTATTTTCCAAGCTTATACCATAGTCATCTGGGACTTGATCTTTATAAATATACTGCATTGTACACAGTAAGAATTCAATAATCATCATTATCATGGAAGGATGCAGTATGCTTTTCTTCCCCTGTAGCTCAATCCCCATTCCTTATTTTTGTCTCTAGTCTCTACTCACAGCCTCTCTGTTGAGACGGCCACAGAGTTAATTTTGAGGTATGTTGTGTCAGAGAAAGAAAGGGCAGATTCATCTAAAAGAAAGCATTCATATTTATCTTTCAGTTAAAAAAGGAGTTTTCAGCCACGTGTGGTGGTACACACCTTTAATCCCAGCACTCAGGAGGCAGGTGGATCTCTGTGAGATCAAGGTCAACCTTATCTACGTAGGGAGTTCCAGGAAACCGAAAGTTTTCGAAGTCAAAAGTGAGATACCAATTTGAAAACATGCTTTTGACTTGTAAACTTTAGACCATGTTGAAATTGAAAAGAAACTGAAATTATTAAACTGTATAAATATGCATATATACATGCATATAGAAATTACAGTTTATAAAGATCAAAACACAGACTCCAATAGCATAAAGTTTTAAAAAAATAAACCTGGGAGTAGAGGAGATAAAGAGTATAACACAACACTAAGGATCACCTGAGGATCAGGCAGGGACATTAAGAGCCTGGGTGGAGGACAGCTGTCTCTTCCCAGATGCTGAGAGGATACACATGCCTCCTAAAAACCTGGATCACATCCCAAGAAACATGGCAGAGAAGGGAAGAGGGTAAGAATCTAGGATTGGCTGGGGCTTAAATCTTGACTGACTAAAATAAGAACAACTCCAAAGGACGGCATAAATAAGAACATAAACTGTAATTCATTATGAATAGGCAAGCTTGGTGATTTTTTTTAAAAAAAAGTTTTATCAAACAGGAATGGAGAATTGAAAGCCTGATGCAATCAGTCATAGGAAATACAACTGAACTTGTGTATGATTTGTGGCATGTAGATTCATTCTCATATACAAACATACAGGTATGTTTTATATATTTCATTGTTGTATATGAGTTTGTATATATATGGATGCATATGCACAATAACAATGAAAATTACCATTACCCTATATGCACAAATAGCTAATGTAATCTCATTATATGCATAAATCTTAAGGGGAAAATCATTAATTTGATTAAATATAAATAAAACCTATTTTGAAAATAGAAGGGTGTCTGTTGAGAACAGAATATGAATAGTAACTGAGAAGCAATTAGATAGTATGTATAATCTTATTCTTGTTAGCAAGCTTTAGAATGTTCCTAAAAGACAGAAAAGAAATCAGGCAACAGCACCAGTGGAATAAAAGGAATAAGATAATGCTAAAAATCAGACTGGGAGAAGATATTTGTTATATCTCAAACCTAATTACAACAGATTAATTTCTAAGTAGGTGAGGTAGTAAGAATAGAACAGGAAATCCATCAGAATAGACCTAGAACCCAAAAGAGAAGTTGACAGCGGCAGAGAATGCTCTCTGGATCTAAGCATCTGCTCTCCCATTCTTTCATGGCAATAGGTGTTCATCAGGGCACACAGCTATTAGCTGAAGACTTCGTTTCCTAGACTCCTATGCACTCACTGGTTATGTGACTAAGTTCCTACATGAGCAACAGCTGTGTGTACCGTTACTGGTCCATAACTTTCAAGGAATTGGCATGCTTTCTGCCTGATTCTCCCTTTTCTGAAAAGAAGGCAAGATAGGAAATTAGAATTTTTTTTTTCAGACCCAGAGACAAGAGCTGTGTTTGAGGAAGATGGAGCTACAGCATGAGAGAATCCTCCATGTTGTGCAGCTTCCATATACCTACAGACTGCGTTCTGTAGGGGGAGATGAATGTCTATTTTACATAAGCCACTGTGTACTGTGTGAGTATTTGCTAACCTGTGCAATATATATCATAACTACTCCAAGATGTGGTACACAGAAGCAGGAATACCTAAAATATGAAATACATTAGAAATACTTAAAGATCAGGTGTGGGCAAAAAACGACACAGTTAGGACATGTTCGAGAGCACTCATTCTTGCTAACCCTTACTGACATATTTGGTAAAACTGCCACCTAGAATTCCTTTGAAGATAAACCATCATCTAATGAATGGAGAAAGTATTTTGGTGTGTTTCAGTTGCTTTGTATCGGTATCAGCTAGTTTGCAAAGAAACACAGAAAGCTCAGAGTGCAGCAGCCATTTAAATGAACTGAGTACAGTAACGTCAATCCTTGAGATTTGAAAAAAATCCCACAATTGCTTCCATGTATCAACAGCAGGTAAAATGCAGCTGTGGTTTTCTTGGGAACTTCACAGGATCTTGGAAAGGTACACAGCCTTTGGATTTAAGGCAAGCCTCTAGGTAACTATCATTAACTGAAGAGAAAAAAAGCTAAGCATAGGTGTAAAATAGAAGAACAGGCTTTTCAGGCCTGAGATATTCTCCAGCTACATTGTGAATTGTTATGGAAACAAATCAACTCATGTAGTTTGGGAAAGCTAAATTTTTGATAACAGGAAATTGCCAAAGAAACCACCATCCATATTGGCCTCAAAAGCATGTGCTTATTTTACCTCCCAAGCAACCCCTGGGCATCTTCAAACCTGCACTAGCAAATTACACCAAGATATTTTCACCTATCAAGTTGGTAAAAATTAGAAATATGGATATGAATACTAAGTATTGCTAAGAGAGTAGAAACATAAAAGCCCTGTGTTCTTGGCATGCAGATTGTAGCAAAACCTTCTGAGAAACCATCTTATAATACCTAATAAAATGGATTAGAAATAAACATGTAATTTATAGGCCAGAAAGCATCTTTGTACCCACTTGATACAGATCTAATGCACAACTTTAAGACCGTAGGTAACAAAATTGTACTATATCGTGGAGTTATGTTAAATGAATGGATTTTAGTTGTTCTGTCCCTAAAAATAACCAAAATAGATAACTGTATAAGCTGATTGAAATGTTAATTTGTTTTACTACAGTAACCTTTTTACTGTGTATATGTATCTCATAATATCATGCTGCATACCTGAAGTCTTATGAATAATTTTTAACAGAACAATACTTACTGAAAAAATCAGAAACAAATTAAGTTTATATCATGATATCCATGTACTGCTAAATGATGCTTACATAGTGTTTAACAGTGCATGTGGTTTAGAATAGATAAGTACTGAGAACCACTACATCTGCCACAAATAAAGGATGGTACATACAGACAGTAGACTAACAGAACTATAAAAAGAAGAAGCTATCAATGGAAAGATCTTTGAAGCATAAGTAGAAAAGCAAAGTACAGAGCAGTCAATATGGTAAGCTATGTTCGTTTTTGAATAAAAAATTCAAGAAGTATAAAAAAAGAAAGCAATAGTTTGGTCACCTATGGTGGGAATAGAGAAGGGTGCAGAGTGAACAGAAGACAGAAATGAAAGAGGCTTCACAGTTGACCTTTAAAATATTTTAAGCCATGGAGGCTGGGAGGGGGGCTGGAGAGATGGCTCAGTGGTTAAGAATACTGGCTGTTCTCGCCGGGTGTGGTGGCGCACACCTTTAATCCCAGAACTTGGGAGGCAGAGGCAGGCAGATCTTTGTGAGTTCAAGGCCAGCCTGGTCTACATAGTGAGTTCCAAGACAGCTGGGGCTACAGAGAGACCCTGTCTCAAAAAGACAAAAAAAAACCCAAAAAACAAAAAACAAAACAAAACAAAAAAACCACTGGCTGTTCTTGTAGAGGACCCGAGTTTGAATCCTAGCACCCACATGATGGCTAACAACTGTCCATAACTGTAGTTACAGGGGATCTGATGCCCTCTTCTGACCTCTGTGGGCATTGTACAACATTGATACACATACATGCAGGCAATATACTTGTATACACATAAAATAATAAGTAAAATAGTAAAAAATATTTTAAGTCACAAGAATATAGTATTTAAATTATTAAATAAGAATATGTGACTATAACCTGCTATATGCACTACAAAAACATATATAGCTGGGTATGGTGGTACAGGCCTTTAATCCCAATACTCAGGAGGTAGAAGCAGCCAGATAGTGAGACTGAGGCCAGCCTGGTCTATGTAGTGAATTCCAGGCCAGCTGGAGCTACAGGGAAACCCTATCTCACAAAACAAATAAGCAATAAAGCACTGTATAAAGACATAAATTAAAAAGTACAGAATAAATATGTCGATTAGCTGTCCTAAGTATAGGGTGGGAATGAGGTGCTGAGGATGGTTCATGATTTGGGTTCTAGAGTGAAAAACAAACAGTAAGTCTTAAAGAAGAAATATCCAAATTTCTCCAAAACATTTTAGAAGGAAAAATATTTTATGACAGTTTGTTGATCTTTAATTGTTCAGAATATCAAATAAAGTTTGAACAATCATGTATTTGGCCCTGGTAAAAAAAGAAACAGGCAAACGGTCTACTGAGTATCTTTCTAACTCAAGCTGTTCAACCTTAAAAAGAGAACAGGAATATTTTCCCTCGGTTCAATAAAGAATCAAAAAGAATGAAAAGCTAGTAGAAAAGGGGAAAGTCCTAAGAAATGACACAAATTGTAGATTACAGTCGGGCTAGACAAGAAAATCGAATCAAAGTAACAGAAAACCAACCTGTCCTTTATCCAGGTCACTATTTGCATTTTCTGAGTTCATTGTCTCTGTCCGTTTCCTCTTTCTTTTTCTAAGAACTTGATTATTGGCAATGTCATCTGTCTGCAAGATCTTCTGCATTTTCTCAATTAGTTAGCCAAGCTTTTCTGGAATTGTAGACAATGGGAACGCCCATGTGGGTGATGCTGTTCTGCCTGTAGTTAATGCTTTTCCTTAAAAACAAACAAACAAACAAAAAAGGATCATGGCATGCTGACAGTTCTGTTGTCCAGCGCGCTCCTTGCTCTGGTGAACTGCTTTTACTGAATGCTTCCAATCACCCTTCTCCACTGAACTATTCAGCACATGTTTTCACTGACTCCAAAGTCTTTCTATTCTGTCATCACCATTAGGATGCTCACACTGTGGTGTGTGTCATAAGCTGACTTATGAAATCAAATAGTGTAAAAAGTATTTCCATTCTTTTTTCTTGTCAAACAGCTATGAGGAATCTATAACAGTCAAAAATTTTATATATATATATATATATATATATATATATTCCAAGGAGCTCAATGAGAATTGCTTAGAATTTTTTTTTTGGCTTTAATTCTTTTTCTTCCAGAAAACTGAAATCTTGAGATGGAACAGTCTCCTTTGTTGGAAACGAAAGAATGCTATCACTGGGGTTGGACTGATGAAATTTTACTTTAGTTATGTATAGATGCTATTAAGTCTTAACCATTTTAGTATTTTCATTTATTGGTTTGTGTTCATAAGCATTTAATTATAAACAATAAACCTTTTAAAAGGAGATTGAGCAAAGAAATCTTCATGAAATATGTAAAATACTGAGCAAAAGTAACATTTTACTTCTTACCAAATTATACTAAGTAATTATATTAGTGAATATAATTCACAAATTTTTCACAAATTTTTTCACAAAATTCATAAAGTAACAGTGGACTACAACTTTTTATAAGAAATAGTAATGGAAGGAGTGAAGTTTTAAAAGATGACATCAAGTGGGATAATATCACTTATAATTCTAGTACTTCAGAGGCCAGCCTAGGTGTCATAGTGAGGGTCTTTCTCAAAATTCCAAAATAAAATAAACAAAATACACAAATAAATAAAACAATGAAAGCATAAATTTCGACTTGCCATTCAGATTTAATGATGACTTTTATCTATTTTAATTGATGTATTTACTTATTAGTGTTTGTGTGTGCGTGCGTGTGTGTGTGTGTGTGTGTGTGTGCAAAGGCACATAGATCACAGTGTGCGTACGGAGGTTACAGAAAAGTTTTGTGGGTTCCAGTGATTGAACTTTTGTCACCAGGCTTGTATGGCAAGCACCTTTACCTGCTGACCTCATCTTGCCTTTCTTTATTTAATTATTATTATTTTATTTATAGGGAGACAGGGTCTCACTATATAACCTTGGCTTGAATCTCATGATCCTCCTGCCAAGCCTCCTAAGTGCCAGCATTATAGATGTTAGACATCACCCCCAGGTGCAAATGCTTACTTTTTAGGCAAACCTGTAATGAGTTTTATATTTTATGTGTTTCTTCTTTCATGATATCTTTCACATTGATAGGAACTGGTATATGTTGACACAAGCCAAGAGCTAACAAATTGTTTAATTGAGAAAAATTTACACACTGTAAAATTCACTACTTAAAACAATTAAAAATGTGTACTGACCATGTTTTAGTACATTTGCAATATTGTGCAACCATCACTGAGAAGTTTAACTGCTATTATGGGCTTAGAATTTTCATTGAGCATAGCTGTATCTTAGCAGACTATAATAGAACTCTTAAATGCTTCTCCATGTTTACCTTTCAACATGCCATTAACATATGGATTACTTCCAATTAAAGGTTGAATAGAAGTTCAAGCCCAGTAAAATGGATTCTTAAATAGAGAAGTTTCCTATACATTTGCTTTGAGCTCTGATGGATCTATTATTTTTTTATTAATTGAATTTGTTCTTTGTCAGTTTCATACATTAATGTAATACATTCTGATTACTCTCTCCCCCCATTTCTGTGACCTCTCTTATGTCCTTTCCACCAAGTTAATCTCCCCTCCAGGCCCTTTCTCACTTTTCATGTCTTCGTTTTGCTCTGTGACCAGGGCCATCTGTGTGACCATGGGTTTGGAGCTATCCTCTGGAGCCTGGTGGGCTCACAGGTGGGTACACAACCGAAGACAACGACTTCCCCTCCCTCTGCAGCCACCAATAGCCAGCAGGTCACTGGGAGGAGGCGGGCCCACGAGCTGCTCCCCCAATCTGTGCCTGACTCTCTATATGCCCTCTCTTGTGCAGATCCAATGCCTGCAACAAAGATATTGCGTTCATGTTTGCAGGCTGCTGGACCTATAATTCAAACTTTAAAAATATATTCAATATAAATCTAAGTGAGGATGAACATTTCACTGCTTGTTTTAACTTTTGACAAAAGAATGTAAAACATTTTGGCATTATTTGAGTCACAAATTATTGAAACAACTTTACCTCAGTATAAGCTTTATATATAAAAGCCTGTCGGGTAATTTTATCTTGTAATTTCTTTAAATTAGAAAAAATTATTATCATTTTGTATGTGTGTGTGGATGATGTGAGTGGGTTTTGTGTGCATGGTGGGGGCTGTGCATAGAGGTCAGCAAACAACTTTGTGGAACCGGTTTTCTCCTTCCACCTTTATGTGGGTTCCAGAGACTAAACTGAGGTTGCCAAGCTTGGGAGGCAAATGCCTTTATCTGCCAAGCCATCTCTGTGGCCCATGTTTCTTAATACTTTGTTTATTATTATTTTTATTTTATATGTATGAGTGTATTGCCTGCATGCATGCAAGTGCACCCGTGTTGTGCAATGCATGCAGAGGTCAGAAGGTGTCAGATCCTCTGGAACTAGAGTTGCAAATGATCGTTAGCCACCATGTGGGTGCTGGAAAGTGAACCCAGGTCCTCTGCAAGAGCAGCCAGTGCTCTTAGCTGCTGAGTCATCCGCCCCCAGCCCATGTTTTGTAATTTATCCCTTCCTTCCTTCCTTCCTTTTGTTTTTGAGACAGGTCTCCCTGTATCCCCAGCTGACTTGGAACTGTGTGCAGAATTGGTTGGCCTTGAGCTCACAGAGCTCTGCCTGCCTCTCCCTCCTGAGTGCTGGGATTAAAGGCATGCCAAGTCTGCAAGAAAAGCTTTTCAGTGTTCTCTGAGTGGTCAAGGACACTGAATCACAAGAAGTTTGATTTTGGTCATGAGCTCAAACATTTATAGTAAATTTTTTTACTGCTAAGCCACTGAGATGAAATGGTGTTTAGCAGAGCAGCTCAGAATACTCTATTTCTACCCAGTTTCTTTGAGGCAGGGTGCTGGGGGATGACCCAAGGCTTTGCATGTGCAGTGCGTTCTACTTCTGAGCCACACCCCAGCCCGCCCTTCAGTTTCTATTTATGAAAAAAGCTCATGGAACTGATGATGGTCAAGAACTAATGAAGTTCACTACGGACACTCCTGGTTCAGTAAGATGTCCAGAAACTGCCAAGATGATCTTATTTTTTTCCTTTGCAGTGCTGGGGGTCAAACTTCAGGCATTACAAAGACTAGCCATGCATTCTGTCCTTGAGTTTACACCTTACATGGGAATGTAGGACACTTAGAATAGCCCAGACAATCTTGAGCAAGACAGAGATGGAAATAAATAAGAAATCAGTAGTATCTTAGGGGTGAGGAATAGGTAGGGAATGAGAAATGTGTATAAGGTTTCTCAGAGAGGGTTTTAAAAAATAAAGCCAGGTGTGGTGACGCATGCCAGCCTGGTGTACATAGATAGTTTCAGGCCATTTGGGGCTACAGGGAGACCCTTTCTCAAAAGACCAATCATCATCATCATCATCATCAGAGTTTTTGCAACTATTGCTGTAATCCATTATTTTAAATCATTTACCCCAATGAAACGTAAAGAAAACACATACAATAGGTTCAAATACTTTCTTCAAAGTGCCTGCTGATGGACAATAAAATGAATAACCATAGGTTTTAGACACCTTCACAGGCTTTACCAGTTTTTTTCACTTAAAAATTAAAATTTTTTTAAATTATTTTTATTCTATTTTACGTGTATAAGTGTATTACCTGCATGTATGTAAGTACACCTGTGTCCCCATGTTGTGCAATGCCCGAGGAGGTCAGAAGAAGGTATTGAATTCCCTAGAACTGGAGTTGCAGACAGTTATTAGCTGCCATGTGGGTTCTAAAAGTCGAACCTGGGTCCTCTGCAAGAGCAGTAGGTGCTCTTAACCCCTGAGCCATTTCTCCAGCCCCATCTCACTTAAATTTTTCTTGCTTTGCCCTTATTTTTACCATCATCAATTAGTAGATCTCACTTGAGTTTTTACTGAATTACTGTTGCCTTAATTTGTTGAAAATATTTTTGCGTATGGTTGGTTCAGAATAACTATTTGTAGAAGCTGATTTTTCAGTCATTTTAATGAAAGACAACTGAACAGTAACATCTGCTGACTAATCTATAATTAAGAAAAATAAGTAGTCTCTTGCTTGCTTTGTAATTATTATATTGCTCTCATCTGTAAGTCTTTGAGCAACTATTTTTGCTGAAAGATTATTTTTGTTACTTCATTTTTCCTAGATACAAGTTTTCAGCTAAGCAATCCAAATGTATTTAACTCATGAACAGTAAGTGGCTTTCCTTGCCTAACAAATGAGCTCCTACAAAAGATGTTTGGGTTGCAAACTCACCTCCATTTTGAAATATGAGATATTTCTTTAAAATTTTCTGTGACTGGTTGTCTTCCTAATGTGACGAGTGCTTGGTGTAGAAATGTTGGCATGCACTTTTTGCACAGATATAGTGTCATGGAACAGTAAAGACAATGTTAGTCACGTAATTCGGTAACAAAATGACCTATACTTTGCTCTGCTATAAAGCACCAAAGTTCACTTTTATCCTTTTTCTTCTCGTTTTGACATTATGAGCATGCATGAGTAATAAACAAGATGTCTGACATGATGCTATGCATGCCAGTTACAATGTTTTTATATTATTACAGTTGCATCACTGCTGCTGCAATGCACTGAAACCCACTACGATGTAACAAACTTTCCCCTTTTAGGTCTCTATCACAATGGCTTAACTTGCCCCTTGTAGTACAAAAGCAGCCACAAACAATGCATAAAAACACAAGAGAGGCTCTGTACCAAT